CCGCATGCATTTGGAGATCTGTCTGTTCAGACGCCTGTATGCTGTCAAGTGTGTTGAAGAATGTAGCTTCATCTCCCGTCTAACAGCCATGAGATTAAGAGTGTGATCGGAGAGTTTTTGTGTTCTTCTGCGGCAGGTCTTGCAGAACTTAGCTCCGACCGCATGGACAGTTTCCACGAGCTTGTCATTCATATCGTCCACTTCATTGCAGTCTTCTAGGCACTGAAAACGGTTTTGTAACTCGAGCTGAAAGGTTTCGGGACTTTGGAACAGAGCACGAGGGGGACGGAGCGTTGACTTCATTATTTTTTTTTTTTTTATAGGATCGGGTGACAAACGAGCACACAGTCCACCTGATGTTAAGTGGTTACTGTGACCCATAGACATCTACATCTATCCTCAATAAAGACTCAAGATGCAGATGCGTCGTCACCCGTGAGGACTAAGATGGAATGCCGCTTTCCCAGTAAAAAGGGTCTCCGGTTCTCTACACTCACCATACGAAACACAGCAGTGTTAAGCTGCTATTTTACGCTGGTATTCTGTGAGAGCGTGGTCCTTCCCCGGTCGAGCCGACCCATTCGTGCTACAACCATAATATAGCTGCAGCATGGCTCTACCACGTAGAAACGTAGAAACGTAGTTCATTAGACGAGACCTCTCCAACTTAACGTTTAGGTTCAGTGTGCCTCTAACCATTCGGTGATCGCTACCAGTTTTCACCCTCGCGATCACGGAGACATCACTGAACAGTTGTCGTCTGGTCGTCATAATGAAGTCAATCTCATTTTTTGTCGAACCGTCGGGGCTCGACCAGGTCCACTTCCTGTGGGGCCGCTTCTGGAAGAAAGAGTTCATCATAAAGAGTCCCTCTTTCTCCATGAAGTCGGCCAGCTGCTGGCCCCTTGGGTTCCGTTGCCCTATTCCAAATTTCCCTACTTTCAGCTCACCGTTCTCTCTTGTGCCTAGTTTTGCATTGAAGTCTCCCATTAACACCGTATATTGGGTTTTGGAGGAATGCATGGCTCTAGAGATATCCTCATACATTTCCTCCACCTCCCCATCGGGGTGTGCCGAGGTTGGTGCGTAAACCTGTATGACCTTCAGCGAATACCGTTTGGTGATTCTGAGTATAAGGTACGCAACCCTCGTCGGCACACTCCCGATCTTTACAACGTTGTTAACGAGAGACTTGTGGACGATAAATCCGACACCTCCTTGGGACAGATGGTCGCCCTCCCGGTGATAGAGCAAGTTGCCGGATTCGAGGATAACCGTGTCCTCCCCCTCTCTTCGGACTTCGGATAATCCTATAATATGCCAGCGCAACTTGTCTATCTCTTCTTCCAGCTCCACGATCTTCTCGTCAGTCCTCAGGGTGCGTGCGTTGTACGTTGCCAAGTCGAGTCGTCTAAGGTGGCAACCGAACCTCCACCGGAGATTCTTAGCACCCCCTGCCCCGCCGTTACCATGATCGCCACCGTAGCCAGGAATAGCGGGGCCGCCGGGGACTGGGGGCCGTCTCTTTGTTACATTCATGGGGGGTATTTGCCATAGTTGCCACGCTTGGCGAGCGGGTTGGCAACCGCAGTTTTTTTATTGTAATTTTGGCTATTATCAGGAAGATGCTGCTGCCCATCTCCTGCCTGTCTCCCTTTGTCGCCTTTTACGACACCCACGGGAGGATATGGGGTAGTGGTATTCTTGACCGCCACTACACGGCAATATGTAATTAAAAAGAATGTTGTAAAGTAAAATATGTATGTATTATGTAATTAAAAAGAAAATTGTAAGCCCAAACCTATATTCATGTTTTCTTTATTTATTTCTGAAATTATAATTTTTTTCTATAATCTTAGATCTTTTTTTATTTATTATAAGCCAGTGGTTGACCACAATCCCCCCAGGTGGTAAGTGGTGATGCAGCCTTAGATGGTAAATTGCACTGTCTTATCGTAACAAAAGATTTTTTTATTATAAGACCACAAGGAAGAGCTCGCATTGTCTATCAGAAAATTTAAGGAGTCTTTAAGATGTTTATCGTTTAGGATAAAAATGGAGTTATAAAGATTCTAGAGATATTGTAACGGACAGCAGCAATGGACCGTACGTTTGTATGAAAATAAATCTTACAGTTGTCGAGGAGAGTAGTGTAGTTGTACCACTTCTAGACCACCTGAGTCAGACGTGGTTCAACGACGTTCGTCGACGCCCGATCCTAAAAAAAAAAAAAAAAAAAAAAAAAAAGGTTTTGGCATGCTCTGATCACGAATCCGCGGTCCATTTTTGTGTAGAATGCACGGTTCCAGAGATGTGTACATCAATTAGCTAATATCTAATTGATATCCGGTAAGGGCCTCCACCGTCATTAGCGTCCCATTGTTGTTCCTATTTCTATTGTTCTATTGTTCATTAATCACCTTCATTGCAGCGTGTGCGTCGACTATACCAGTGCTATTGTGTTATAGTTCTTTGTTCCTAATTATACAACGCTAATCTGAATCATCAATAAAACACATTACATAATTTTGTTACAATTTTTATTTATAAAATACAAAATCTTATTAATTATTATCTATAAAATAGGAGCGAAACATCTCATCCACTAAAATATCGTTGTACAATGTGTTCCTTGTAAATATACTCGTAAAACTATGTATTGAACATCCTTGAAATTTATATAGCAAATACATTAAGCAATATTCGCCACAAACTGAAGTCCACTCATTCTGAATCCTATCAACATTCCAGTTCCATCTTTTACAATTCCTTTTTAAAAACTCTAGATGATATCGTACAGGTGATCGTCCATATGAATCAAAATATTGACCGACGTCATTCGTATCGATATATAAAGCTACCCAATGTGACCCTGGTTTATCATCTGTATCCAAATTACATATTATATACGTTGGTACGTGGGTATACATAGGCAGTCTATTAGCTGCATAAACATTATTTTCTAGACTGGGGTGAATCTTTTTCAGATGTTGTTGTACATCTAGTGTATCCATGATATTACTGCTATTAGTAGATTATTACAGTACCTAGCTACTCAATGAATAACATAGGAATGGTCAATTATAGTGATTTCTACATATTAAATTGCATTTTTGTGATATACAAATCGTACTTGAGTCATTGATCACCAAACAAAACACAATACGAAGAAATGTTGAGATAGGCAACGGAAATGTGAGATAAACTGATATGTTTCTAAATATTAAATTGCATTTTTGTGTTATACAAATCGTACTTGAGTCATTGATCACCAAACAAAACACAATACGAAGAAATGTTGAGATAGGCAACGGAAATGAAGATAAACTGGTTGACGCATAAAGTAATTATCAACTCATTACGGAAATACTTTAGATTAGAATTTTTACGTACTGGTGGTATATAAGACCAACAAACGCAGTCATCGAGTTAGTGTACGGTCGTTTGGCTACAGTGGATCTATCAATAGTACATTTGTGTTACTTCAATACACCAAAGGCTATGGATGTAAGTGTTTATTCTATTGACTAAATTACTTTTTTTCTGTTATTTTCATGTGTGTGTATTATTTTATTTAAATATTGTGTATGTATATGATTAAGCCGTGGTAACTCAGATGGTTAGCGCTAGCTGTAAATTTCACAGTACGCGACCCGGGTTCGATCCCCGCCAGCACCAATTAAATTGTTAATAGCAATTTTAAGTGCTTATTACCACGTGCTTGGTGGTGAAGGAAAACATCGTGAGGAAACCTGCATGTCTGAGAAAATTTCGAAGGCATGTGAAGTTCGCCAACACACATTGAGGGAGCGCGGCGGACATTTCCTTGCTCTAAAACCCTCTCAGAAATGAGAGGAGGCCTATGTTCAGCAGTGGACTTTAATAGGCTGTAACTTTAACTTTTTTAACTTTTATGATTAAGTGTTAACAAATTGATATTAACATGATAACTGTGTTGTTGCAGAAATCATTGAGCTTCGATGAAGATACCTATAAACAGTATTACTACTCGCCACTCTCCCCTCAAGAAGAGAGTGATGACCTCGTCATTAATAATAACACATGCGATGGTGGAAAAAGAAAATCGCAATCGATTGATCATTTTTTTGAAGCTGAATCAAAAATAAAAATGAGGAAGCTGTTATCATCAACCGTAGCACGAGCCGCTAGAGATGGTGTATCATACATTTCTACTAATTCTGACGACGGAGACCAAGCGACGCATCTCATCAAAATTGAAATGTACGATATGAAGAAGCTATCCAAGATTCCAACTACTGATCATTGGAAACATGCTTCCACTAGAATTAAATATTACGTAAAGACTAATAAGGATAGCATCTACGACAACACAAACGCCCTCGTATACAATATAACAAAGACAATAGCAGAAAGTGAAAAAGTTAAAAAATACTTTTTTAACAATGACAGTCATTAGCTGATCATTAGTGAATGTGATTCTGTTTACTTCAATTACAGGAAGACAAGAGCGGAAGGAAGAGATGAGTGTGGCATACGTGTACAAAACACATCATTGAATAACAAAACTACAACACTGAGTGGAGAAGAAAACGAGAAGAGTATGCAGTACTCAAGAGCTGAATATCCATTCTTCAGTTCAAAATCTAGCCGTTTGCTTAGTTTCGAAAACTGGCCTTTATGCGACAGAAACCTGAAGATCTTGCAGAAGCTGGTTTCTTTTATACTGGCCATGCAGACGGGACCAAGTGTTTCCATTGTGGTGGTGGTTTAAAAGATTGGGAAGATGATGATGATCCTTGGCAGCAGCATGTTCAGTGGTTTAGTCAGTGTGCTTATGTAAAATTTCAACTCGAACAGTGTTTTGTATTAGATTAAATAGAAGATTTATAAAGAAATAAAAAAAAATATATTGCATACAATTTGTTTTATTTAATTTTATAACGTTTCACATAGTTACATACACACAAAATGCATTACACATAACACATAAAATCTAACACACAACACATATTATAACCTTAACTACTATAGTCTACAGTAACATTTCTGTTTTTATCTATCTCAATAATATTATCAAACTCAGCATAAACTATACAGTTAATTGTTTGTATTAATGAGGATTCAAATCGTACTTCTATTCTTACACTACCATGCTTTATGAGATTCCAATGAGTTGATGAGTTAGCTGATAAATCAGGAGTTAAGTCAAATGCTAATAGACAGTAACCTTTGCCATACTGTTCACAAGAGATTCCATTTCCTTCATTAAGAAAGTGAATACCAGTTCCCGAGAATAGAGTATGATATGCTGATGTAAATATGCTATTATTAAAAGATGGTTGCAAAGCTTTTGAAGGTATTTGTTGACCATCAATATATAAGCTGAAAGAATTAATACCATAGTTTTCAAAGTTAAATGGATTTTTAGTAAGGGAACCATTAAATGCAGAATTGTTCACAAATCCAATTATACATCTTTTCGGTACCTGTCCTAAAAATATATTATCAAGAGTTTTTCCTTGAACACCCGAAGGAATTGTTAAAACTTTTACTTCAGCTCGAGTAATAGGATATTTAGCAGTGGTAGAAGCTAAAACTTTTTGATGTGCGAGTAATACACTTGGATTAATTCGTGCTCGTCGAACAAAAAGAGTTGCGTCCGTAATACAAACTTTAAACTTTACATCGTTTGATCCAACAATTAAATTAAAACTCTCTCTTGATCGAACCAATTTAACACTCATTTCAACACCATTAATTAAAAATTTATCTTGGTTAAAAATGTCACCGTGAAGATGACCAATCATTTCTATTTCCTTACTTTCACTAATCAATTCCTGTCTTTTAACAAATCCTATGTTTTTACCATCTGTAGAATCCATTTTTCCTGCTGTATCCTCATACCAAAGACTACAAGTAAGATGAGATTGTTTAGCAGCAGGGGCATAGTTTAAAAGGGTTTCCATGTATGCTCGATATGCATAGGTATTATTAGGTGGTGATACAAGTTTTTGGTTTAAATAAACATCAAGTTGACTAAAAAGTGAATGCAGCCAATTATTTACAGGTGCTACTATTGTAGTAGATACCAAATTAGTTGAATCTTGATTTAATACTTTTGCCTTTATGTGGAGTAATGTATGAGACAAATCTATGTAGTCATCGCCGGTCCCAGGAACTTGAAACTCGATAGGTCCATCATCACCAAGAGATGAAATTGGTTTATAATGAATCCACAATCCATTTTCAATGCTAGTTTGTGTAGACGGTAGTGCAAACAAATCCAATTCTGACTTAACGCACTCGCAAGAATGATTATGAAGGAAAGACATATTTAGTTTGAAAATATATCTTTGATATTTTTTGGTTTTAGACTAAGTTTTTTCGCAGCTTTCACTTTAGCAGTTAATGGTGGAATGAACGATGTCAATCGTTTTCTTTTAGTTTTATACCCAGATCCAGTCATGTTAAATTGATCAATTTTCTCATCAGCCTTTCGTTTTAAATTCGTACTAACTTGCTTTAGACGATCTTTTATTGAGGCTTCCATAGGACGGGCTTGAACCATATCCGATAAAAGTCCTACTCCAGCGCTTAATGCCTCCTTACCAATCACTCGAGCACCACTTGAAAGTAAAGGTAAAACTGATCTGAATAACCCCCCTAAGAAGCTCCCAATACCATGACCGCGTTGATATGGTGAACCCTTATAAATTACTCCAACTCCTGATCCAGCTTGATGTGTATAATAATTTTCATATGGACATTTATGATGATCACGAAGAGAATTCATTATTATAATTTTCGGAAATGTAGTTTAATACACACGGTTCCAAACTGGAATGGTATTTTTTGTCCTGTACTCGATCTTATAACTATTTCCAACGTATCGAACTCTCTTCGCATAACAGGTAAGTAGTGAGGTTGAGAGAAAACGTGCATTTTATTTGCACCATAAATGTATTTTGTAGGATCTAATGAAATGACTCTTAATAAAGGAGTCATAACATCACCCACAATCTGAGGATCGATAATGTCGCAATATAGAAATAGTTGAGATGGTAACCCTAAGTGTAAATTAGCAGGACACTTTCCAAAATTTCTCTCTAGGAGATTTTTATTTGGTTCATAACCTAGCTGTAAACTTAATTTGGGTGATAATGTTACGGATGTTATATTTTTATCCAATACCGAAATAGACACAAATTTTGTTATTTCATCATAGCGAAATTTCAAGTTCTCTCCGATACCATTTAACACTCTTAAAATATGCTCAACGTTATCATAGTTGGTAGCTGGAATATGTTTTTTGTAGTACACTGTGGATGGCTTATCTTCATTAGGCATTAACATAGATTTTGTAATGTATATAACATTTTCATGGTCTTGAACAGTAAACATGGTACATGGATATTGAAACTCGACAACTCCAACCGACCATTCACCTTCTAATTTTATAGCTTTTGGTAATTTCGTTGAAAAATTTGTGGTCTTGTTATCAGGAAAGTATTCCATTGAACTATTGCTGAGCAAAGTTAAATAGAAACTTTCTTTATTCATATTTCTTTTAAACTAGAAGCTAAAATCCAACTGTTAAATTTATCTGGATAACCTTTCCACTTCACTAATACTTCTTTTCTGTTACTTGAATAACGAGTGTCAATTATTTTATCTATTTTATGTTGTGAGGTGGGGTTGTAAGTGATTTTCTGTAATTCTCTTTCATAAAAAGTACCAATTATTGGTTCATTTTGTAAATCTGTTATTGTATAAACAACCCATGGAGATCTATCAATTATTGAAGATATAATAAATATTTCATCACTCCAATTTGATTCATATCCTTTTTGGAATACATGTTTATATTTAGTTATTCGAACATAATCACCCACATTGAAATTTGGTTTAGGATTTTCTAAAGAAAGTTTTTTTGACCGTCTATCATAAAGATTAGTCCAAACTGTCATAATATTGTTGGAATTTACATCACATGGGCACATCTTAATACTAGAGTGAAAGCTGTGATTATAAGAGTATATTAAATCTTGTAAAACATCTATATATCTATAAGTATTATTATGAGTGAAATAACGCCACATTTTCATTTTTAGTGTTCTTTGAAATCGTTCAACAATACTGGCCTTAATGTCAGGATTGTTAGTGGTATAGTAATTAATCTTTTTGGATTTAAAGTATTTTTGTACATCTTTTGAAACAAATTCTGTACCTTTATCGGATTGTATGTGAGTAGGTGTTAAATTACTTTCAGTAAATATACTTTCAAAACATTCTTTAGTTGTTTCTGAGTTTTTCTTTTTCATTGGTTTTGCAAAAGCATATTTACTAAATACATCAATAATACAAAGTATATACTTGAAACCATCATTATATTGAGAATAAGTTCGCATATCACTTAAATCAGCTTGCCACAGTTCATTAATATTTGATAGAATGTACCTATTACGCGGGAATTTTTTTCGAATGGGTTTATGTAATGTGTATGTTTCTTGTGATTTTAACCATTCCTTTACTTGCTTTTTATTCATTTTACCCTTCATGGCTTTTGATAATTTATCAATACTACCAAAACCAGCGGGATTAGATGGATCATAATAAATCCTGTTAATTTCTTCTAGTACGGAGTCCATTTTTCCCACTCAAGTCCTTTACGTATTTTAGTTGTAGACTTTTTATCTCTACTGCACGGTGTAGAAAACTCTTGAACTTCAATCTCAGAGGGTTTGTTCAGATCTTTTGCTTGAAGTTGGTTAATAAACTCACATCTCCTTGGATTTCCAATATAAGTAAGTGGTACTTTAATATCTTTTAATGCTTCAGCAAATCTAACCCACCCTACCGGATCACTTCTTTTTAGGGGTCTTAGTGAATCATTTATTAAATCAACAATATTACTTCCAGGAATTTTTTCACTATCAATTATGACTGTACCTTCGTTATCCCAATGTATTTTACTTTTACTTGTTTCAACTAAGTTTAATAATAACTGCCCTTTTTTATGATAAGTTTTTGGTATTAAACTGAGTATTTGAGCTGGTGTGTAAAGTGGATTTTCATCATTTTCTTTACTTTTAATGGATCGATTCTCCTCCAGCAAAGATTCAATATCAACTGAAGTTTTTAGATCTCTATCTTTATTTTTAAAACCAATTTTTGACTCATTTGAATCTTCATTAGATGTATCAGAATAAATTGGTAATTTGAGTGGTTGACGATCCTCTTCGGTAAAATGAAGGTATCTTTGCAGTGTTTGTAAATATAATATCCATTTCTTTCGGTCTTCCGTCTTACTATTCATAATATTTTGCATTTCAATATCTAATCGAGATAAATTACTATTAACCTTATTTTCTTGTTTTAATTTTTCAATCAATCCAGGTTCGATAAGTATCATTTTCTTTGCATTTTCCATGTTAACTGGCTAGTCCACTCACTAATCCACTCAATATTGCACCTAATATTGTTGGTAAGAAAGCCCCTCCTTTTTGTATAATTATATTTTTTCTTAGTTTATGTTTACACTTACGTACTAGTTTACGGAGTATGTTTTTATGTTTATTCAATTTTTGTTTATCCTGATCTTTAAGAGGTACTTTTCCTTGTAAAACGTTATGAATACACTCACAAATACAGTTAATTTCTTCTTCATCACACGTTTTAAGTAATGCTCTTTGATATTTTGGTTTAAGCGTATGCAAAGCGGTTAGCAAATGTTTATACGTTGTGAGTCGACGATGCATCATTTAGCAATGATTTCAATTGTTTGATTCTTGGTGTATTTAAACTCTTTTGTGGGGACGTAGACTGTACAGAAACCATTAAATGGAAAGACATTTGTCTTGATACGACAAAAATCATTGGTATTCTGTTTTAAATCTACCATTAAATATCCATGTGCCTCTAGAGTTGCATCCCTGTAGGCATTTTCAATGAATTTTGGGTTATCTGGTGATACTTGTCTTGCTAAATATCTTATTTGAGTTTTATCTCGAGGGTTTTTAAAATATATTATATAACTTGAGTTTAAAGATATGTCTCTTTGTCCTTTACCCTGATGAAATAAATTTTGTGTTAGATAAAATACACTAAGATTCCTGTGATGACTACCTTTTGTAAATATATCCACAATTCTTCCATCGGACTCTCTCATTAGATCATCAATAATAACAAGATGTGGGTTTTCACCATCAAACATATTAAGATTTGGAATTCCTTGATGATAGTTAACATTTGGTAAATTATATAATGGTTGCATTTCATCAAAGCACCATGTGATCTGATTAAAATCACAATTACATATTTCTGTAACTGATTTTATGAAATTTGTTACAAAATTTGACTTCCCACACCCACTTGGTCCTGCCACAATAGCAGTGAACGGATGGATAAAGTGAAACATAACACACGTCTAAAGTTCAAAGGGGTGAAATAAAAAATGAAAGTGTTGGTGTAAACAATTAATATATATTCCAAAAATTATATAAAACAGAATTATCTGTATACTATTTCTAACACAATTAGTACATCATAATTTTACAATTAACTCAACCTCAAATAAATAGAAACAACAATTAGTACATCATAATTTTACAATTAACTCAGCCTCAAATAAATAGAAACAACAATTAGTACATCATAATTTTACAATTAACTCAACCTCAAATAAATAGAAACAACAATTAACTTAAATTATTTACAATAAAACAATGTTTAAATATGTAATAAACTACGTCATATTATAGTATTATCATAATTTTACAATCAATATAAATTTTTCTTAAACGCAGGCATAAAAGTAAAAACTATCAACACTTAACGCAGTTTATAATGACCCCAAGCTAATGTTTCAATATTATTATCTAAAATATGTCTCTTTGTGTCATTATATGATAAACCTATCTTATTTAATTTTTGTGTGAAAATTGTGTGTTTAATTGATTTAAATCTAAGCATACTATAATATTGCACTTTTTTATTAAATAGAGAAGACTTATAACTATTCATTGTCATCTTTTTAGTGATACATTTATTTACCCCTTTTGCCTTGGCTATAGTCTTATTCTCTAAGTTAAAAGCGTACATTTTGGATCGTAAACCCACAAATTCTTTCATGATTTTACCATTATTTTCATCTTTAAAAAAACCTAATTTCTTTTTATTTAATTTTGGATATTCAAAAATATTATTTGTATCATAATCTGGGGTATCAAAGTATGATGAAAGGTCAGGTTTTATATCAGTGTAAAAATCATTTGTAAATATATGATATATTAAACTATCCGTATCTGTATACAATAATTTGATTTTACTAAAC